CTCCCAACAAATGACTTTCCTCTAAACTTATATCCCGATCAAAACAAAAACATGATTTTTCTAGTTTTCATTAAATATCTCTAATACGGTTCATTTTAGAAACATAAAGATTATAACAAAAATCATAGATAATGACATCGCGAAAAACTTTAAATACCTAGTATTAAAATCCAATCATACTAGTTTATTTTATTTATATCATGATATCATTATAACAGACTAAAAAGCTCATCAATTTAAATTGAAAAAATACAATTACTATTTTTATTATATACATATACATACAACTTTTTTAAAAATTTGTTATTTTTATTATTTTTTAACAACATTCCAATTACTAGAAACGGCTATTTTTTCCACTTAACAAAACGGATTTTCAAAAATCATGAAAGGACAAAATATTCTTAGAATAGTCCAAGGAACAACTCTTTGAATTTTTGCCGTATATTGAAAAAACACCCTGTATATTGCAAAACATATGTGTAACTAAATATATACGGTTGTATATCATTTTAAAAATTGGTTTTTAATAATAACATTTACGTACCCATAATACATTTTAGTAGTGAAAAATCCTCCAGGCCGAAATAAACAAAAAATAAGACAAAAACCACGTCGCAAATTACTACGGAATTTAAACAGTCACTGAGATATTATTCTAAAGACTAAATTAGTAGATATCGAATTTATTGAACGTTCGAAAAGATACGATAAAAATCCAAAATAAGGCCCGATAAGACTAATCTAAAAAATGACCTTTGTCGGTATACCTCTGCATATTTTACAACCTCTTAATTGTACGATAATTTCTACTGTTAATAAAATATAAAAGTTGGAATTAATTTATTTGTATACCCTCACGTTCACACGATAAAAAAAAAACAGCATATTGTCTAATTAAATCGAAAATATAATTAGTGTTTTTATTTCTATATGTACGTCATGTTCAAACAAATTTATATACAGGGTAATTTTGACAGTAGTTTTCGCAACTTTTGAACATCTAATAAATGTGAAAAAATACGTCGAAAAATACTAAATAACATTTCGCACATCCGGTGCAATAACGTCGTAAGTGCAAAAATATTGGAAAGTGACTTTTTGGACACAAATTATGAGCAATCTACATCTGATACAGCATTGTGGTAAATATACCATTTACAAGAAATGAGCAAATATTAAATATTTTGACTTTTAATACATTTCAGTTTATGACGACCAAAACTTTCAAATGACCCTCCTCTAAAAACTAGATTTTTGTACTTACGACATTGTTTCACCGATTTAAAAATATAATAATTTAGGTTTAATAAATATCAGAAAAACGCTAAAAAGTTTTATAATATTATACAAGTATTCAGAGGCGGCTCATGGCCAAAATTTTGGGGGTTCACAGGGTGGACCAATCTTGTGGAAAAATTCGATATCTTCCTTGTTGAAAGAGATATTAAAAAAGTGTATTAAGAAAATTATGGACATGTTTGAGGTTAACATTTTAAAATTATTGGGAGGTATAAAGGGTGTTGCATAGCTCGTGTACGAACCAAACATATGTTTTTTTAATGATAACCCCAGTATATTATTTTAGATTCTGTTTACTCATCTTAATCGTACATAATTCAACGTCCAGCAGCGATTCTCTCACAAAAATGTCAATTCCTTGAAAAGTACCCTATATAACATAGACAAACCATATATTAGAAGAATGGAAAAAAGATGAGTAAACAGAATCTAAAATAATATACTGGGGTTATCATTAAAAAAACATATGTTTGGTTCGTACACGAGCTATGCAACACCCTGTATACCTCCCAATACTTTTAAAATGTTAACCTCAAACCTGTCCATAATTTTCTTAATACACTTTTTTAATATATCTTTCAACAAGGAAGATATCGAACTTTTCCACAAAATTGGTCCACCCTGTATATATCAGTACAGATTAGGTTAAATATTTCTTTGATGTCAGTAGGAACTAATAACATTGAATTTAATAGTATTTTGGATTTAATTTGACAGTTAGGGTTATTCTGAATTTGTTTGGCTAATTTTTTTCCAAAACTAGTAAATTTATTAGCTACTTCCTGGTTACCTGTTAATAAGTGTTGGTTGGCGTTTCCAAAAGAGTTAATCTCTAAATTGTGTTGGTTTTCCCCGCACAACTTTTTCACCATGTCCCACAAATATTTACTGTTATTTTTGTTTGCCTCTAGTTGTTGTTTATAGTATTTTTTTTTTTAGTTTCTTTTATTTGATTTGTAAGAATATTTTTATAAGCGTTAAAATGATTTTTAGTATAACATTTATTAAAATTTTTAAACATTATTTCCTTTTTCTTATTAATCATTTTTAATAAACCGTTTGGAGCCATGGTGCAAAAGTTTTATTTCTACGCCTACATAATTTTTTTTCAGTACAGGCATTAATTATATTAAATTCTCTAATAAAATTGTTTGTTGCAGTGTTTGGGTCCTCTGCTGAGTAGACTGGTAGACTGGACTGGTTGGGTCATTATTTGGAAAATAGGAAACAGAAGGTTAAAGTAAGTAATTCTGTTTCGGATACTATAGAGAATAATTATAATTTATATTAATGATAGTGCTGGTGTTTTAAATGTGATGATATTAATTGACATGTTAAAAATAGTTGTTTTTTTTTGACTAAATAAACGATTTATATTATACTATTCACATAGTAGTCTGTGAAGAGTATTATAGGTTTACTTTCAATAAACTAAAATTTTTAATATTGATTCAAATTTAAATATTTTTGTACCAAAATCTTTCTCATCAAATTTACAAAATGTCCGCACGATAAGTCAAAAACGAAAAAGTTACCAACTTAAAAATTTCAGGAAAAATCAATAAGAGAACGAAATCTACTGATTTTCATAAAAATCGGATTAACATTGGAGTTTAAGGGGGGCTCAAATATTAAAACAAAATCCTCATCCATAAACGAAAAATGATATAAAAAAAACTGAATAAAAATAGGGGAATAAGGGGGGATTTAAAATTAAAAAAATCCTAATTTAGAAGCAAAAGACAATATTAAATTTATAATGGAATGAAACGTATTGACTTTGAAAGAAATTTGATTGAAAATGGGGATTAAAGGGGGTCTGTTAAACTGTGAACAAGTTTAATAAAGAATGACAAGCATTATATATCTTCATTCTAGTTAATTTATGATATAACACAGTTATTCGCGTGTTTTGAAGAAATAAAAAGATCCTTAGCATGTTCAGATATTTATAATGCGTTATTTACAGGGTCTATGACCGTACATTAACATGCATCTTGCCGTCACATGTCATAATCGTACCATAAGAATAAAGATCAAAGTTTCGAGAGATTACAAAGTTACAAAATAACTCTTCCGCTTGATAATCGTAAAGTAATGAGGTCGAAGATTGGATTGGATATAGAATACAGATAAATTTGTCTGTGCTCTGTCTAGACTACACATGAAAAAATAATAACTATGCCTAATACCAAATCATTAATCTATTATACAGTGAGCATAAGTCTTACCCCCCCCCCCCTTACTAACTCGTTACTGGGGTCTTGTTAGGAAAATCGCCGAGACACGTCGTTTTTTGATTTTTACAATGTACATTTTTGCATGATTATTTTACCCTTAATATCATCCTTTACTGAAGAGTAGCAACCCTTTCAAAAAAGTTAAATGGCATGGGGTGGTGAGTGATAACTCATTTGAAAGGGGGTTTTATTTTCTATTCAACCGTGCAAAAAATTTTGAAATTTGTTTCATTGCGTGTTGATTTATTAATGTTTAAAAATAACAAAACCTCACAAAATAGGAAAGCAACTAAACTAACAGTGACCTTCTAATGGCAAAAAGTCTTACTTCACGTCTGAACCAAAACCGAAATCACGCAGGGCCGAATTTTAATTCTAAGGATGAGTGCGCTACGTTAATTTCCGTTATTCTGAAACAACAATTAGTCGAGAATTAATGAAGCAAATTTCAAAATTTTTTACACGTTTGAATAGAGAATAAAACTCTCTTTCAAATGAGCTATCACTCACCACCCCATGCCATTTAAATTTTTCGAAAGGGTTGCTCCCCTCCAGTAAGGGATGAAATTAAGGGTAAACTATTCATACAAAATTGTACATTGTAGAAAACAAAAATCGACGTGTCTCGGCGATTTTCCTAACAAGACTCCAGTAATGAGTTAGATAGGGGGGGTAAGACTTATGGTGCTCAGTGTATAAAGTAAATATATATTTACTGTTGCCAATCAGGTGAAAAAAAAACTACATTCCCTTACCTTATATCTTTTACGTAAAAAAAATACATTCAAATAAATTATAGTACATGCATTTTTAAAAATTCCAGTCAATGAGATGAAAAAAACTAATATTGAATTACCAGAAATATGTACACAGAATAGTGTTTATTATTAATTTCACGAAAAATATTAATCTTATTTGTGAAAAATTAATTTAGAATAAGAAATTAATTTTCAACATAAAATCAGTAATAAATTTGTCCTGTTGTCAACTCTTTCCGTTGCCAACTCCACACTATAAATAAAAATATAGAGTGATCTACAAGATTTAATTGGAAATAGTACGTCCGTACCAAAATGCTAAACAACTACTTCAAAAGCTATTCGAATTTATGGACAACGACCATTATCGTATTTCCGTATTTGTGTTATACATTATGAAATATGTTTATATATTGGAGTTTTCTATGCTATTGAATGGCGGAAGCTGTTATATTAAGAAGCTGTAACGTAGCCAATCAAGAGGAGGTTGTTGGGAATCAATTGCTAAATAAACATTGTTGATGTTTTTTTTTACTATTTGGCTACGCCACTGGCAAAAAGTAAATTAATGACAAAGCCATTATACAGGGTGTTTCGTACCGTAGTTAGGAAACACCATGTATTCATAAAAAAAAAAACTAGCAGGGAGAAGTGTATAAATATCTACATGCAAGCGTGCAGCAAGATATCTCTTACTCACATGTTATTATTATCCTTTCCTGCCATCTTGAACTCAATAACTGAAAAAGGAAAATATATATTTACACTGTTTTTTTTTTAAAATAAAGTTAAAAGAAGATAGAATTAAAAATAGTGTATAAACTAAGGATTAAAAAATAATAAAGAAAAAATAAATAAAATGTAAAGTAAAAGGATAAACGAAAAAGGGAAATAATAAAAAAAAAAAAAAGAAAATAGGAGATACGAATAAAGCAGAATAAGTAAAAATAATGGAGGTAGTGAAAAAAAAGTACATTTTATAAATAAATCTTATATAAAGCAGAATAAGTAAAAATAATGGAGGTAGTGAAAAAAAAGTACATTTTATAAATAAATCTTATATGTATACATTTTAAACAACAGCTGTTTTTTTTTATCAAATTTACAATACTGAGGAGCAATTCCGCACTAATGGGAAATCCTGTATAATATATTAATAAATGAACAAACAAAGATACAGTCTGTTCGCTATACTTTCGCGGGTTTCGGATTAAAATTTTTATGAGTATTTCCAGGTAAGTACCCGAAAGTTTGACCTGTTCTTTGGGGAAATATCAACTGGTTAAATGAAATGAAAAATAATGTACAACTTTTTAATTAAATAATAATGGAGAATCTTTTGTATAATTGAGAGAAGAATTAAACTTTTTCATTAATGGAGTCTAATGTGGCTATTATAAACCTAATAATTTTATATTACACTTCACACAGAAAATATGGTCTATGTATAATAAGAGGGTTATTTAGCTCAAATAAAATATTTCAAACATAAAAATTTGTTCCATGTAGAGAATTTTAAATGAAAAATAAAATTGAACTTGCTAACAAAAATGAAAATCAGTCATTATCATCCAAAATATCATAATCGTCATCATCATCACTGTCATCACCATTAATTGTTATTATGATTGGACTTATTTCGTTTATTTTATTTTCACGAGTCCACCAATCTTCTATTAGTTTCTCGCACTTGAATATACAGTTCCGCCACACTTCTGGACTTGCAATTGAAAGTGCTTTTCGCCAAGTTTCCCGAACTGCGTCGTCACTATAACCATTAGGCCCAATATGGTTGTCATAATATTGTTTTGCTATCCCCCATATGTATTTGATGGGATTAAACTGGCAATGATACGGTGGCAGACGTAAAACTTGATGACCGTAACTTTCAATAATCTGATTCACAACAAAGGTTTTTGGTTTTGCGTGTATATTTGCCAAGCGTAATAATTCTGATTTTAATATATATTGAGGAAACGGTATATGTTCCTTTGTCAACCATTTTTTAATTTTATCAACAGTCCAAGAATTCGTTGGACTTTTGTTTAATACTTTAATACTTCAGAATGGTAAGGTGCATTGTTTAAAATAATTACGCTGGGCTCACTTAAACCTGAGAGAAGTTTTTCATGCAACCATTTTACAAACATTTTTGTGTTCATATTATCGTGATAGTCACTGGATTTTAATTTAGATGAAAATATTAAATCAGCACCTTCTATAAAACCCGATTTCCCTCCTGCATGTAAAATTATGTGTCGCTTCCCTTCTCCATCGGTGTGTTTGATGGACTTTACGTTATCATCTTGCCATATTCTCTTGGTTGCACCCTTAGAAAATATCCATGTTTCGTCTAAATATATAAAATTCGCCCCTTCTTCTTTAAATTTAGAATATTTTCTTAGAAAGTTAATTATCTTGTGCACGACAGAACTTCTTTCACAAAGGGCCTTTCTGTTACCCTCCTTTTGAAATTTGAAACCCAAGTTATGTATCACTTGCCATAGACTTGTTCTGCCAATGTCATCAAATTTTTTATCTATTAATTCCGAGAGAATGGGCCCGTTCACTTTCATTTTTGAATGTGAATTATTTATATATTTATAAAGATATTAAACTCTTTTGTCTGGTGGTACTTTTCCCGTTAAAATATTTTTGCTAGAAGTAAGGGAATTCCCATAAAATTCTTTCAGTGACTCATTGCGTCAGAAAACCCCTAATTCCCTTCAGGGGGTCGATTCTCGACTCGTAGGAATTTTTTCCTATAGGAATTTTTGACATTTTTCTACACATCGGAAATTTATGACATTTGTCTACATGTAGGAAAGTGTCACAAATTCCTATAGGAAAAGGTTCCTACAAGTCGAGAATTGACCCCCTGGTGTTGTATCGGTTAATAGTTAAAAGGGCGCGGTTGTCGGATGTATCATTGCACCACCATTCCTCTTCTGCATTTATTAAAGAAATTTAAATGATAAAAAAATATTATTTTTTAAAAATAATGTGTTTATATTTTCAGATAAAGCTGGAAGGCTTACCTTTTTTAAATTTTAATAAAAACAATTAGTATTACTCAAGCTGAATATTACCAGATCCAAATTTTATTTGAGAAAATGTATCTGGTAAACGTGACAACGTTGTAAGTACTTCTAAATAGTGTTGTCTACACACACTTCTAGAAATAAATGCAACGTTGCCACGTTTACCAGATAAATATTGCAAATCAAATTTCTACTTTTTGATTATGGTCTGGTTAATTTTCAGCCTGAGTAATAATAATTGTTTTAATTAAAAAGTAAAAAATAAGCTCCCAGCTTTAAATCTGAAAATATAAGTTCATGATTTTTAGAAAAATAATTGAATTTTACTATTTAAATTACATATAAATGCAGAAATGCTATATTAGGGATACTTCCGACAACCTCGCCGTCTTTATGCATAACCGATACGAGACGTGAACGGAATTAGGGATTTTCTGACGCAATGAGTCACTGAAAGAATTTTATGGGAATTCCCTTACTTCTAGCAAAAATATCTTTACGGGAAAAGTACCACCAGACAAAAGAGTTTAATATCTTTATAAATATATAATCAATTCACATTCAAAAATGAAAGTGAACGGGCCCATTGTATTTAAGGTCACATGTTCCTTCTTGTCCCTCATTCGATAAATGGTATCACGAATTTCAAATTTCTTTCCATCATGAATATCTTTCGTTTTCAATGATGGGCGAGTTTTGTGGTGATCTTCTTTCGGCAGTTCACTATTGAGATTTTGTAATATTCCTCTTAATTTGGTTTCAGTAATTCCTAGAGCATCGCATACGCGTTGTTGTACAGACATTACCGATTTTAAAGGGCCGCCATTTTCTTTTTCATCCGTAAAATACTTATGTACACTACAAATTCTACATCTAACACACGTCTAGGCATTTTTTAAATTTCCACTAAATTTACAATATACATACAATGTCAACACTTGCAAAGAATCAATTCAACTGCAATATTTATAACAAATTTAGTACCTACCCTAATGTTATTTTAATTTAAATCTGACCATTAGGGCAATTTTACCTAATTTCTTGGGAAGAAGCTTATTGGAACTGGTTGTCAATGACTAATTTTCATAATTGTGTTAATCCGAAACCTGCGTAAGTATAGCGAACAGACTGTATGAAAAAATTATTACTAGATCTTCACACCTTTAATAAGAAATTGAGCATGCACACTTCTCACTCTATGCAAGCTGAATTTCTTATTAGAGATGTTCAACGTCAATTTTGGAATCAACAGCAAGTATAGAAAAAATTATTTGCTTTTTCTGACCGTCATTTCATATTAACTATTTTGAATTTAAAATTTCTGACATCAAATTTGGAGTCAACAGCCCAAAAATCCTCCTCTACAAAGTTTAATGTATAATTTTCGTCGACCATTTTCAATTAGCCGTTTAGAATTTTAAATTTCCGAAATCAGCAGGTCCACAAACTTTCAAAAATTTCGAATTTTGGCCAGTTTTGAGTGCTTCATGGCTCACTGTGCACTTGCGACAGTGGTATTACAATTCAAGTTACAAGTTCATTGTCAGTAAACATTAACCGAAAACAAATTCAGTAGATCAATGACAATGCCCGATGATGTTATCTATTATTTATTAATTATTATTACATAACCCGCATTACAGAATATTGATCGGTGCTTTTATTGAATTAAGAATATAAATTTTGTACATTTTAGAAACAGTCCTATTTATTTTTTTCACATCTGATGTTTAGGATAATCATGAGCAGCTGAATTTTATACGGGGCGATAATTTTTAAAATGATAGAATAAGAAAATAACACATTATCCTTTTTTAGGACTTTATTCAATGAAGTAATTTTTTTATTTATTAGCCAACATTCTTAAGATAATACAGCCACTTCTTCTAAATAATCTAAATAATGAAAGCCGAATAGAGTCTAAAGTACGCTGATAACCGACGCGTTCAACAATACACGATACGAAATTGATACACCTTCTATATCGTTATAAAATAAATATATCTCGCTTTCATTCGATAAAATTTAATAGTGACATTAAAATGATATAATTTCTAATCTAAAACAGGTACAAAGTTTAACAATAATTGATTTAATATGTGACGAAGTATGCGTGTTAGTTCTTCGACCTGTAAATATTATGAGCAATTTTCTGGACCAACGATCCAAACTGGAAATATATTTTTTTAAGAAAAAGTTGTGCATGGTCTAAAATCTAAAATGCAGCCATCTGATATCAAATCGTATACGAGATTTGTAAAAAAGAAAACAGTACTCTTGAGCATAATCATAGTATATTAACGCGCCTCGTATATGGCTCAAAAAATGTATTTTAATATCTGCTGGTTGTATTTTACGTTTTACAGTCTGTTCGCTATACTTACGTAGGTTTCGGTTAACAAAATTATACAAATTAGTCATTGGCAATCAGTTCCAATAAGACTCTTCCCAAAATATTAGGTAAAATTGCTTCCCAGGTTTAAGTGAGCTCAGCGTAATTATTTTAGACAATGCCCCTTACCATTCTGAAGTATTAAACAAAAGTCCAACGAATGCTTGGACTGTAAAATTAAAGACTGGTTGACAAAGGAACATATACCATTTCCTCAATATATATTAAAATCAGAATTATTACGCTTGGCAAATATACACGCAAAACCAAGAACCTTTATTGTGGATCATCAAGTTTTTCGTCTGCC